ACCCTATTATCAATCAGTGTTAGATGGGAAAGGGGTTCATGGCACCCTAACTCTCCATGCAGAACTCTTGGCTACTGATAGATTCTGGGAGAAGGAAATCATTGTCATTAGCTATGTACATAGTTGTGAGCCAACAAAGCTCTAATGGAGAGTTTGAAACCCATAGCCACACAGATACTCATGTTTAATTCAGCGGGTCACAAAATAAAAATCATTTTTTAACTCATGAGTTATATGAATTTGGAAAGGGGGGTTGTAGAAAAGAGTGAGGAAGGACTTATAAGAATGAAAATGTGCCAGGTGTTGGTGGTGCACGCCTTTAATCCCAGCACTCGGGAGGCAGAGGCAGGAGGATCTCTGTGAGTTCGAGGCCAGCCTGGTCTCCAGAGCGAGTGCCAGGATAGGCTCCAAAGCTACACAGAGAAGCCCTATCTCAAAAAACCAAAAAAAAAGAATAAAAATACCATAAGAGAAAGTGTTAGTGGAATTGATTAGAATGTATTCTATCTATCTATCTATCTATCTATCTATCTATCTATCTATCTACTATCTAAGTTTTGAGGAAGAGTTTCACTATGTAGCGCTAGCTGGGCTGGAAATCACTATGTAGACCAGGCTGGCCTCAGACTTGCAGAGATCTGCCTACCTCTGGCTCTCAGATGTTGGAATTAAAACTATATGCCTCTATGTCAAGTCTAATTTGCAATACTAAATGTAAAAGGAATATGGGATAGTAAAACTTCAACTTAGCTGGGCATAGTGGCACACGTTTTTGATACCAGCATTTGGAATCTCAGTGGATCTCAGTGAGCTCAAGGCCAGTCTGGTCTACAGAGTGAGTTCTGGGACAGCCAGAACAATGTAGTGAGACCCTGTCAATAAATTACAACAATAATAAAATTTACCCTTCAAGGTATCACAGTAGTAATTTATGTAGGCAAACTCTGCAGGGTATTTATGTAACTTCAAATGATCTGTCCCTATATATTCACTAATCACTGTGACTGCGTTTAAAACACATATTCACAAACTCTCTAACACCACTCCATCCTGGGTAGGGTAGTACTAATTCTCTTCTGCTTCAATATGGACTAGATGTAGAAACTCACTTCTTGCCAGGCATGCAGTTCAGTGGAAGAAATTTTGCTTCTACAAAAAGGGTATGAAAAGAGAAACAAACAGTAACTTTACAAGTGAAAACATCCAGCAGACAACATTAACTAAGTGGTCTAAATTAACTGCTCATGCTGTGTATGTCACATCTCAGGATTGTGGTGAAAAAGAATTTCACCTCTTTGATATTTTTCTTCCAAATCAATTACCCCAATGTAATCATGAGTAAATATTAGAGAATATAAATTGTGAAATATTCTACAAGAATGTTTCTGTCTTTAAGTATGTCAAGGTCATGGAAAATAAAGACTAGAAACAGAGCTGGCCAAAAAGACTGGTGAACTAAATAGGACATTTAAACAATGTATCCTAGGTTGAATTTTTTTTTTTGTTTTTCCACGCAGGACTTCTCTGTGTAGAGCTAGCTTTCCTGCAACTAGCTCTTATAGACCACACTGGCCGACTTGACATTTTACCATTGGAGTGCTTACAAAGTTGAATCAGAGTATTTTCTGGAACTTTCAGGCTTAGAGATACAAACTAGGAAGCCATCAAAAAGGGGTACAGATGTTAGAATGGGTAAACACAGGGTCAAATGTAATATAATGTCATTTTTTTGAACTCTAAGCAGAACAACTTATGGGAGCTGGAAGACAATGGTCTTGACACAGCACTTCAGGTTTATAGTGTTCCAGGTGCTGCATTAACTGCCAGGATAATTTACAATGTGAGTTCAGTAAATGGGCAGAAGGCAAAAGAAATGGGTGAAAGAAATAATATACATCATACACATTGCTTCAGGCTAAGTTGTTGTGGCCGGTGGTTATTCTGAATAGTTTGCAGAATTTATTCAATTTATCCATGATAAACTTGTAGAACATTTTTGTTTTGTTTTGTTTTGTGGGACAGGGCTTATCTGAGTAGCCTTGACTGTCCTGGAGCTCAATCTGTAGACCAGGCTGACCTCAAAATCACAGAGATCTGCCTACCTCTGCCTCCAGAGAGCTGGGATTAAAGGTGTGTACCCCACCACCCAGCTAAAAAATATTTTATGTCAAGAAATAGGGTAACAAAAAGCAGAATTAATTAAAGGGCAAGTCAGCGCAGAATCTGTATTTACTCGTTCTAACATTTTAACCTTGAAACTGCAATGATGTGGATGAAAAATAGGGAGAGACTGCTCAATGAATACAAAGTTACAATGTGATAGAAGGTTAAATCCTAGTGTTCTCTACAGTGGATACAGTTAACTACAATTTATTGTGTAATTTCAAAGTGCATAGAAGAGTAGATTTTTGATGTTTTTACCAAAAAGAAATGATACATATTTGAGGTTATGGATAGACTAATTACCCTGATTTGGCCATTGCACAATACACACATGTATTGAAGTACTACATTGCAGGAAATAAAAGCAATAAAGAAATGTGCAAGATGAATTTTCATATAGACAGGGTCAGCATGCAAGACTATTGAAATTACTTTAAAAAATAACATAGATATCAGAGTCATAGCTAAGAGCTTGCTGGATATAACTGAATGGTCAACTGCGGCCTCTTCCTCTCCTTGCATAACCTGAGCACTTTGGGATTTAGAAGCACCGCTAGTGCAGGCTGGTTACACACAAAGATGATAAAAGCTAACTCAGATGTCCAGTGTGGCTATTCTCCAGAACCTACATCGCCATTGCTAAAATTAGCACGAATATCCTTTTCTTCTCTTTTTAGTAAGAAGTGAAAGTTTTACATTTTTATTTGTCTGTATGTCTGTCAGTTATGTGCATGTGTGCACAAGTGCCAGCAGAAGTCGGAAAAGGATGTCTCTCAACTGTGGAATGAATTTTGTGCTTAAGTATAAATTATTAAGCATTAAGTTAACACAATATTTATTTTTGAGACATTTTTCTTTCTCCTTGTTGGACTCTACATCCTGCTGTGATCACACTTGCCAAGAGACTGTCCCAACCACACCCCCATTCTCTTTCTCTTGACTCTCTAGTTAGATAGCCACTCCAGATACCACTACACCTACAGATACTAGTGAACTCTGTGTTTCAGAAGATCCATTTTCTCTTTACAATAGCACAGGGGTTGTTGTTGTTGTTTTCTTTTGTTATGGGTTTTGGTTTTTCAAGACAAGGTTTCTCTGTGTATGCCTGACTGTCCAGTTACTGTAGACCAGGCTGACCTTGAATTCACAAAGATCCACATGATTCTGCCTCCTGAGTGCTAGGATTAAAAGCATGTGCCACCACAACCTGGCTCTCTCTGCTTTTTGATAACAATTATGCATGTTGATAGTTTACTTTAAAAAACTTTATTGTAAAAAAACTGCAAATAAAAAATATCATGCACTGAAATGAACCAGAACCAAAGTCTATGCATTTCAACTGAATTTCTATACAGTTACAATATCTAGTGTGAAGTTGTGGAGCTTCACACTGGAGTTTACATTTTCACTACTGAATATATTTTGTGTACTTGCCTGTCATCAAAAAAATGAAATATCCATGACAAAGTTAGTATTAGAAAAATCATTAAATTTATAAAATTTATGTCCTCTTTTATATTTTATGGCCATTCTCCTCATTCAGTCCTTCCTGGCCTCCTAATATTAGGTCTTTGTTTTTTTCATTTTTGTA